CCAAAAGTACATAGTTGGTTGGAATTTCCCAGCCCACCGGGATGTGAGACCATGTGACTGGTTCCAATGAGTGATATGTGGGTAGGAAAAGAGCTCACAAGCTAGGGTGYGGCAGGATGGGGCTTCCTTCAACCCAGAAACCAGAGTAGCTGCAAGGGATATCCCTCCTAATTYGTGCTGAGCATGTGACGTGATTGAAATACAAGTTCTCAGTATGTGAAGTCACTGAGATTTAGAATCTCTTTGTTTCTACAGGATGACCTTAGGTTTTAGAATGAGGCCCTTGGACCAAGAGTATCTTGGAGCTTGTTAAAAATGCAAAATGTTTGGGGCTGGGGATGTGGGTCAATCGGTAGCGCGCTCGCCTGGCATGCGTGCGGCGGGGTTCGATCCTCAGCACCACATACCAACAAAGATGTTGTGTCTGCCGAGAACTAAAAAATAAATATTAAAAATTCTCTCTCTCTCTCCTCTCTCACTCTCTCTAAAAAAAATGCAAAATGTTAGCTCCTGCCCCAAGCCCCCCTAACAAGCTCTTCTCATGCTCTGCATGGCTATCAGAGCTTGAGAAGCACTGGCCTCCACCACCTGGCAAGTATAGAAATTGTTGCCCCAAAATAGCCAAATCACTATACCCAAAGGTCCTAAAATCAGCAGCCACATCAATGTTTATAGCAGCACAATTCTCAATAGCTAAATTGTGGAACCAACCCAGATGCCCTTCAGTAGATGAAAGGATAAAGAAAATGTGGTGTATATACACAATGGAATATTACTCAGCAATAAAAGAGAAGAAAATCATGGCATTTGCAGGTAATTGGGTGRAGTTGGAGAAGAAAATGCTAAGTGAAGTAAGCCCATCCCCAAAAACCAAAGGCCAAATGTTTTCTCTGATAAGTGGATGCTGATTCATAATGRGGGGTGGGGTAGATGGGAGAAATGGAGGGACTTTGGATAGGGCAAAGGGGAGGGTTGGGAATGGAGGGGGCATGGAGGTAGGAAAGATGGTGGAATGAGATGGACATCATTACCCTAGGTACATGTACGATGACATGAATTGTATACAACTAGAGAAATGAAAACTTGTGCTCCACTTGTGTACTGTAAATCAAAATGCATTCTGTTCTCATGTATAACTAATTAGAACAAATAAATAAATAACTTTTTTAAATGACTAAATTAACACTAAAACCAGTATGTAAATGGGAAGGATGACTGTGCACGGTACGTGGTGGCAAAGAAGATGCTTGAAGGATGGATACTGTGCAAGATGATGCAGGGAAGGTGGAAAGCAGAACAGGGGTTGTGYGCATTGTTATCGTCAGCTGCATTTAATGAGATGTCACCAGGAAGACATGCTAGGGACCTGCACAGGAGGAGGAGCTGCAATGAAGCAGCAGGTGACCCAGCAGGTGGAGGCCCTCCATGTTACCAAACGGAACACGTAATTATTAAGATGGGAATTTCACGTAATGTATGTTGTATCATAAATAAAATAAATAAACCAATGAAATAGAATTCTTTAGTGATGATGCCATTGTGGGGGCGGGGAGAAGACTCAGGAAAATCCAGAAACCACTTTTTTTTTAAAGAGAGAGAGAATTTTTTAATATTTATTTTTTAGTTTTCGGTGGATACAACATCTTTATTTATTTTTATGTGGTGTTGAGGATCAAACTCAGCGCCCCGCGCATGCCAGGCAAGTGTGCTACTGCTTGAGCCACATCCCCAGCCCTAAGAGACCACCCTTCTTAACCCAAAAAGCAGAAGATAAAACTAAGAAAGTTGAATAGCACAGGGCAATTAAAACTCAGATTGGGCACAAGGATCAAATCACGCCATGCTCTCACCGATGCTCCTAAATCCTCCAAGGGGATGATGGAAGTGTCTCAGAGTCAAGTCCAAGGAGGATRCWTTAGAAGGGTCCAGTGAACCSTCTCACTGGATAAAATGGCTGGGGGAAAATAAAATTTTTCCTCAAAGCCTGATAGACTCAGTGTATGCACAGTTGAGAGGCACGAAAAGTCTTGGGGACAATAAGAAAGACACAGGATGCCAAGGGACAGGTCCAGATGGGCACTGTCCAGTGTGATTGCCGTGGACCACGCAATGTCGGTGAGCACCTGAACATGGCACCGTGTGTCCCCACTCTTCCCCCTCCTGAATGGGAGTGCCTGCGTGGTCCCTAGTCCAACATGGTCTTGGGATAATGGAGCAGATAAGCCGTCCTTCTAGTGGATTGGTCTCCAGACATAGAGACAGCCTTGTTCAAAGTTATTCTCCCTCATCTCAGAACTCAGGTGGCACCCCTCTGCACCCAGCAGTGAGATTGCCATTACATTACGTGCAACATCAGCCCTTGTTGTATAACATATAGTCTGTGGCCCATTGGTTTACATTTAATCTATGTAGCATCTTGAATATGTATTTCCACATGTCTTTGATAGTCATATCCTAATTAATCCATGTTCCATAAGCTCCTGATGGCAGGGATTTTCTGATGGGCACCATTTTCTACCCCCATACTAAGCCCATAGAACTTGATAAGCTCCAAATATTTGTTTTCTGAGACATAGACTTTTGGACAGTATATAAAATCAAATGTGAAGTTTTCTTTCATTTGTTAAACCATTTTGAATGGAGAAATGGACATCCTATAGACAATAAATATTTTCAAGTAGTCTTGGTCATAATTTGCCCATCATTGTACCTACTTATTTTGCAGGAGCTGCCAACAAATTGATAGAAAGACCAAAAGCCTTCTGAATCCCACACACCCCATGACCAGTTCAAATGGGCACTCTTGTCTTTCCATTTTTTAAAAAAAATTTTTTTAGTTATACATGGACACAATATCTTTATTTTGTTTATTTATTTTTATGTGGTGCTGAGGATTGAACCCAGGGTCTCTCACGTGCGAGGCCAGCGCTCTACCGCCAAGCCACAACCCCAGCCCCATTGTTAACATATTTTTAAAAATTGATATGTCCTTCCATTTCTTTGAACATATATTTTTACACCAAATAGATTTCCTACAGAAAAGGAAATTTAACCTACAACACCCTTCAAGATTTAAGAGTTACATGTATTTTAATTTTTATTCCTTTTTCTTTTCTTTTCTTTTCTTTTTTTTTTTTTTTGTGGGGCAGGGGTCGGTTGGGTACAGGAGTTGGCTCATTTACAGATACTGACCAAGTTGCTACATACATGTATTCCTTCCAACTGGAGACACATCTAAATACATGGGCTATTACTGTAGTACTTAAATGTGGCTTAAAAGACATTGGAGCATTTCCTTAAGACCTTCACATAAAAGGTCGGACCTTGTACCGAGTCATGAAGCACCAGAACCGAGAATTAGCCCAATAAGAACTGAGTTCCCTGATGAGCCAGTGTGAACTACGAGAGTCAGTTTCATTCCACTTATGGAACTGGAACTCCGGTGATGTCACTTAGCACTCAGGGCTATTAGAAGATCTGACACATTTACTTAGCCACCTAACAAACATTAAATGAGTGCCTACTCTGTACAAGACGGGAGGCCACTGCCACAGAACACAGGGCTGGGKTTTCCATAATCACATTGTGATCACCTGCTTCTTGTTCCTGATTACACACAGGAATTTTCAGCAAAAAGGAACAGAGAACATTTGAAGGGCTAGATGCCCCTTCAAATTCCAATTGTTAATAACTTACTCATTTGCCAGTTTCCAAAGATCTGGGTGTCTTATGCACTTTCCTATTGATGCCAGCACAATTTTACCTCGACTCTGCACTCCCAAGGGTGAGCGTCATACCCACAGGTGATTTCTGTGACTACACCGGGGAGTTCCTCTGCCCCAACAGACTTCAGCAGGAAGGGCCCTCTTTGTTCCAGTAGCTCAYTGTTGTATGCCCCTGATGATCTACTGCTTTATTTTACATATTTCCTTCTAGGTGTGAATGTCCAAACCAAAGAGAAAAACTCATACCAAGAAGCCATTAAGAGWTTGGAATGTATACTTCACTTCAGATGAGGACCCTGGGATCCAGAGGCCACACAGCAGGTCTGCTGGTGTCCAGGCCACTACTCTGACCACTGACCTCTGCATTCTCCCTTAGTTTTTCTTCCATCTGGTTCATTTTTAAAAAATAAAAAGAAAATCCTCCTAGAGCTTCACTGTTTACCGGAAGTTCTCCTTTTCCTCAATACCATCCTGGGAGAGGTCAGCCCAGACACAGAGAGTGAAATAAGATGTTCAGGGAAGGCCACAGCCAGCGATAGCCGAGCAGGGGCCTGAACTGGGGTATTCTCACTCCACTCCAGGTTAGAGAAGATGGGGCTCCCTGGGTACCAGATTGGGCCCCCGACCTTCAACAGCTGCTAGAGTCAGGTTGAGATAGTGCAAAGTGTCCACACACAAGGTTTCAGACACCAAGACTGACCCTGGGTGAGAAGGGTTAGAAACAGCTCAGCCAGGGGCACGCGCTCCGTGCAGCAGGAGAGGGGAGGGCCCTGACACACCCCCAAGTACTTGGAAACCCTGGATTGAGTCAGATAAGACAGTAAGGAGTCATCATAGAGACTCACAACACACGAGGCAAGGTTTGCAGCATCCAGTTTTATGTGTGGGTAAGTGCAAAACCATGACTGACAGAAGCATAGTTAAGGAAATTCCATTTTCAGACAATTATAAATACAAGCCACAAAGCCAGAAGTTCAGGAAAGGAGAGCTGTAGAGACAACCATACAAGTGAACAGGACATTTCAAATGGAAAGAATTCSACCGTTTATTCTTTCCTGGAAAGCATACGTTACTCTTCAGTGAACCGAGCAAAGGATGAACCTGCTTCGGGGGCAAAAGAAAAAAAAAAAAAGCAATCATATATAATCTAGATATTCATACATTTTTAAACATTTTCTTAATTGCAGATGTACACACTTATCTTTATTTTTATTTATTTTTTTATGTGGTGCTGAGGATCTTGAACCCAGGGCCTCACGCATGCAGGGCAAGTGCTCTACTGCTGAGCCTCAGCCCCAGCCCCTAGATGGTCATGCTTTTTCTTCCAATAGCAGGCTTAGACTTACATGCACTCTGTGTGTTGTGCATTCCCTAAGTCCACACAGAGGGAGGTTGGACTTGAGAAATAGCAAGATGAAAAGGGACAGTGAAAAATTGTCACAGTCCACTTACAAAATGGAGAAGCAACATGCACACATTTGACATGACAGTGACCACAGGAGAAAAGGCGGACACATCTGAACTGGAGAAGAGATAAGGGGAACGCAGTTCCGATTCCTAGTGATCCTTCGGGTTCCTAGTGGACCTCACCGGCTCTGCCAGAGGAGAACTGAGAGCCAGAGAGAGGGTGGCGTTGGGATTAATACCTGCTAGGGAACCTACAGCTCACTCTGAAGCCATGGCAACAAATGATCTCTTTAAAGGTCTTCCGCATTTCTTGGCTGCGGAAGGCATAGATCAGAGGGTCGATCACGGAGTTACACATGATGAGGATCAGGTACRTGTTGAAGTGGGACATGAAGCAGGAGCAATAGATGTTCTGCGGGCACGAGATCATTAAGATGAGATGGAGGAAGAAGGGGGCCCAGCACACGATGAAAACCCCCAGCAGCATGGTGAGCGTGACGGCGCCCTTCATGCTGGTCCTCGGCCGCACAGAGCTGTACCCGGGCGCGGCGGCGATCCGCTTGACGTGGGTCCGCGCCAGGAGGAACATGTGTATGTACAGGGACACCATGAGGAAGAGCATGGTGAAGAACATGGAGATGAGGCACACGATGACGTACGTGGATTCGTAGTAAAGGATGAAGACGATGCCGCAGCCCGTGCAGCAGGTCCAGATGCACGCGATGATGGCCCCCGAGCGCTTGGCCGTCATGATGTGGTGGTAGCGCAGCGCGTAGAAGATGGTGACGTACCTGTCCACCGCGATGGCCAGCAAACTGCACATGGAGGCCACCACGGAAATACAGATCATGGAGTCAAACACATTGTCAATGTGGCGCACAAAGGCGTCTGCCATCACCAGGTGCTTGTTATTTATCAGGTAGATGGTGATGGTCTCCCAGGCGTTGGACATGCTCACCAGCATGTCGGCCACCGCTAAGCTGCACACGAAGAAGTACATGGGCGAGTGCAAGTTCTTGTTCTTCACGATGGCGCCAATGACCAAGATGTTCTCCAAGAGGCTGATGAGACCCAGGGTCAGGAACACCTCCACTGCAATGCCCATGTCCTCGCAGGGAGACGACTTGTTCTTGACACTGAGTCCTGAAATGTTGCTCTCAGTGGTGTTCAGGCCGAGGTCCAAGAAATGCAGGTGAAATGAGGAATTCATGGCTGGGGGAAAACACCACCTCTTCTTGCCAGTAAATGTACTGCAAGACAGGATTTTTCATAATCCAAAAGGTTAAGGAGAGAGAGAGAGAGAGAGAGAGAGAGAGAGAGAGAGAGAGAGAAACATCCCAAAGCAATCATAATGCAGGAAAGGGAGTGAATGAATGAACATTCTGACTTACGTTCCTGATCCCCGGGATACTGCCCCTCTAACACCCAGACCTAGAATTTTCACAGCATTTTCTGATCTCCTTCCTGTAAACTGACATTTTTTCACCTACCTAAAWGGAGTGGCGTTCATCTCTGTGTATCCAGGGTGGTTTCACTTTTTATGCCTGTTGCCCTGGTCCCAAGTTTACTCTCAAAAGTGAGGTCCCCTCTAGCCTACAAAAATCCCATAAAACCCCAACCTCTCTCCAGATTTTCACATTCCTAAGGCGACTACGCCACATGCTCCTCCAATGAGCACAGATTTCTCAAGACAGACATTTGCATTCTTCACATTGGCCCTGACTGTCTTCAAAACCCCTGCAACTCAGACTGCACAGCTACACCTCCAGAACCAAGACTGTGATAGTGTTACCTTGAGCATGATCTCACATAGAAGTTACTGCCTCCAGCTCCTAAGCTTCCCCGGTACAAACAGGTTTAAMATTGAGAAAAAATGAGGCTGTTTTCCCCTCAATCAATATTTCCCCCTGTATTCTGCATTATTTGAAACTCCCCGAAAGTCTGAATAATAGCTTTGTAAGTTCCACMGGAGCGCAGTATGAAGAACCCAGCCATTTACATGTATCAAGGACTAGAGTCAGATACTTCAGTCCCTTTTTATTCCATTTCCCAGTCTTGATCTATATTCAAAAATCCTTTTGCCCTCCAAACTCAGAGCACACCTGGGGACAGAGAATTTCTGTCCCCATCCATACTGACAATCATAAGCATTTATGGAACCGGAATCATTTTTTRTATATTTTTGTTCAGTTCCATCCCAGAGATATCGACCAAGTATACTATGATATCACATCACATCCAGCTGTTTTAAAAATTCGCCCAGTGAGCTAGCCSCCTCCACCCTGCCCTCCTCCACCTGTGGGGTAGGCACGATTTTGCATCCGTTTCCAAGCAATTTCTAGGAAATAGAAAGTTGTGGCTATTTACCGGCGCTCTCCCTGGGCTCCGATCTTGCTCCGCGCTCAGCCTGGGTACCCGGCGTCCACGCGCGGGGACCGCCTCTGCGAGCTCAGGGCCATCACTGGGACGCGTCTTCCTCCAGCGGAGCGCCAGCGGCGTTTATGCAGCCGGCCCGCCCCTGTCGCCGCCCCTCGGACCTGAGCGTCCCTCCTCTCCACAACCTGTTCTCACCCGGGCAGAGCCCAGGAGTCTCTGACTTTTCGGTACCACCTAGCGGTCCAGCGCTGTAGAGCAGCACCTGCTCCCGCAGGCTGGCGCGGGGCCAGCCTTGGGAACCTCACCTGCAAGCAGCTGCCCCTGCTCCTGACAGCGCTGCTCATGCCCCAAGTGCATCCTCCCACATGCTTTTTGTTGTTGTTGTTGTTGTTGTTGTTCTTGCCTTTATTCTTTTTCCCCCTTCTCTAATGCACTGATTAAAATGCTGTCCAGCTCAAAGATCGTCCTGCCGTATGTTTCTGCGGGACAGGCGTGACTGGTGTACCCCTGGTGCTCATTCTCCTGGGAAAGCCTGGAAGCCCTCGACGTGACTCTGCCCCACACACCCCTGGCAATGTAAGTACAGGACACCATCTAATGGCACTGGGAGTTCTCATGCCAGGGCAGAGTCACAGAAGGGAATCAGCAGATTTCCTCTGTGGAGCTCTGTGCTGTGGGTGCAGAGAGGAAAGAGCTGACAACATATATCAGAAGACTTGAGTTCCTTTATTTACTTCTTTTTGAAAGATCTGAGAGGGCTCTCTGGAACATCCTGATTACCCARTAATATGCAAAAAGCAGAGTCTCCTGGGAAAGCAGTTTTCTGAATTATAGACACAGGGCCTTGGGCGCTGGCAAGGGGCATGCATCATTGATCCCAACGTGCAGATGTGATCCTAGTGTTGTGCCCAGAAGTCCCAGGAAGTGGCTACAATTGTCATTCCATCTCACAAAGGAGGGAACCTACACTTACATAGGTCACACAGCAAACCTACCTTCCCAGCTTTGCACAGATGGGACTTAGAATTCCAGCAGCCTGGCCGGGAGCTCAGGCGTGTTACCTGGGGAGACACTGCCTCCCGAAGGAACCCTGGTGGCTGTCAGGCATTGTTTCTTCAAAATCTTGCTGGACTTATTTGCAGTTTTCTTATTTTTATAGTGTCTTTGTCAGATCTTGGTATTTAGGTTACCCTGACTTTGCTAAACAGACTGGACAGAGATTTCAGTGACTTTTTTGTCCTGAAACAGTTTAAGTGGAGGACTGACCAGTTTCTTGCAGAAAAATMATCAGAAAAATCAAGGTCCTTAAAGCTAAAAAGATGTAGACAAAGCTCTCCAGTTGTCCCTGTCGTTGGAAACTTTCTAGCTCCCAAATAGCACCCTAAACACCATGCGTAGCACACACAGTAGCATGGTGCTGATGAGCCCTCCAAATTCCACAGGACGCACCGCTTTCCCCCAGGGAGGCCAGACCAACCACACAACAGACCCAGTGTCATTATGCTTTACTTCTGTCTTACTTAGCTTTTCATCTCTGTGACCAGAAAAACTGGACACAAACAACTCAGAAGAGGGAAAGTTTATTTGGGGCTCACGGTTTCAGAGGTCTCARTCCATAGACCACAGAATCCTTTGCTCTACAAGGTAAAGCAGTGCATCATGAAGGAAAGGCCAAGCAGAGGGAAACTGCCACCTGTGGTAGCAAGGAAACTAGAGTGGTGGTGGGAGAAGCACAAGGAAGGTGTACTCTTCTGGTCATGCCCCTGGTGACCCACCTCCTCCAGCCATGCCCCACCTGCTTACAGTTACCACCCAGTCCAGCCATTAAACTAAGATGGGCTGATTAGGTCACAGCTCTCATAATCATTTTGCCTCTGAATATTCCTGCATTCAGAGGAGCTTTGTGGGGGGCATCTCATATCCAAACCATGACATCTTCTCGAACAATGACAACAGGGACGCTCCTCATTCACCTTCACAGAGAATACCCATGGTGTGGTATCTATGGAGGTTTATTAGGGCACAATCCCCTGGGGCACCATGAGGCACCAGGTTAGGGTCACTGGGAGGCAGGCTGTGAGATGCCGTGGGGAAGCCCTTGCTGACAGAACATTTGTCAGAAGCCCACAGCACAYAGTACTGTGGTCTGCACGTCTATCGTCTCAGCCGATTCTCCCAGCAACCCTGTAAAGTCAATATTCTTCACACCATCTTTTGCATGAGGAAGTCAAGGCTTAGAGCAGTCACGTGACTTCAGAGTTGCTGAGGAGAACAGGATCCAGATCAGAATCCAAGCCTTCCAGGAACACCTCTGCTGAATCCATAGTCCAGAGAGCTCAATCTTGTGTCCTGGCCACATGGCCACAGAGAAGATGGCTGTTTCAGGTTCCCAAGGAGGGTTGGGGAGGAGCAGRCGGGATGGGAAGCAAAGAGGTGAGCTAAGCTGGCAGAGAGACAAGTCAGCGGGGCGGACATGTGGCTGAGAACCTTAGGAGAGACATGGAGGGCTGAAGGGGACAAAGGTAACCAGATGGGAGGGGGCATGGGAGACTGTCCAGCCAAGGATGACCAGATCAGAGGGAGCTGGCTTCTTGCAAGAAATGAAAGAGTGCGCCTCTCCAGCACACTGCAGTCAAGACTGAGCAAACAGGGCGTGGTTTGGACAGTAAGATGACCATCATGCCAACTAGTGTATGTCCCGTCCTAGTAAGAAAGAGAGGACCTGAAGTTTAGGGACTCGCTCTGGGGCTTGGGGAGCTTTTCAATGGTTCACTATGCTTTTTTGTTTGTGTTTAATGCTGTGTTGTGACCACCAGAAAGACCACTATAATGTCGTGCCATATCCAGCTAGGTGAGCCAAACTTCTCTCTGTCCTAGGGGAGGATTACTCGCTAAATGCCATCTATGCACCTCTGTGAAGAGGACTCCATCAGCATCCTTTGCACTCAGTATGAAGCTAAGAATGTCAGAGAGAAAGCTGACTMGAGAGGGTCCTTTCCTTCTAGAAGCACACAAGTCTAATCAGCAAGCTGAACTCACCGTGTTCCTCTTGCAGGGTATTGTGTCACTCATTGGAGGGACTCTGAGATTTCTTAGCCCAGGAAGCAGATGATCTTTGGAAAGTTCACCACCACATCTGGAGAGAAAGGTAAGGCACTGACCTCACCTCTTTTATTTAAGACGTTTCTTCTAGACCAGTTGCTACTTCAGACTTCCCAAAACAACTGCTGTTTTAATAATATGATGTTCTTAAATTCTCTCCTTCTCCTTTGATCATTAAACTCCTGCTCATTCGTTTTTTTTAATATTTATTCTTTAGTTATAGGTGGACACAGTGTCTTTATTTTACTTTATAGGGTGTTAAGGATTGAAYCCAGGGCCTCACACATGCTAGGCGTGCACTCGACCTCTGAGCCACAGCCACAGCCCTCCTGTTCATTCTTTAGATGTCAGATCCTTCCCTCCTGCTGGGAAAGTGYCTGGATATCTCTCTGCATCTGCTCAAGTGCCCCTTCCACAGCACCACCCCAGCTCTCTTCTTACCTCCAGAACCACCTGTCGGAATCTTTCCCACGCAGCCCAAGGACTCCTGCCAAGGCACCCCTTGGTTCCCCAGTGGTCAGCGTTAAACTGACACCCCATGCAGTTAGATCCATATGGACTGTACAAGTCCTTTAGCCATAAGGATCAGTTTGAGGGTGGCCACGTGACCCCATCCAAAGATGAAAGTGGATATTTTTTAGGAAGCCCTAAGGGGGAAAAAATCTTATCTTTTTTTTTTTTTTTTTTTTTTTTGATGATAGCTACTACAAAGCTTTGCTCGATCCCCACCACTAAGCATGATTGAGCAAAACCAGGATTTTACCGGGTTGTTGACCCATTGGGTCCAGCCCTGCTCCAAACCTAACCTTTTTCGTACTTTTCTGCCTGAGTTAACATACTTCCTTTGTCGTTTAAACAAGTTTGATTTGGGTCTTCTTATACATTCAGATAAGAAGATCCTGCAGTCCCAGAATTCTACTGTATGATCTCTATTTTTTTATTATGTTATTGTATCAGCTCCGTATAATGTTCACATTCTTAGAGAACAACACATGGATGCTGATTCTCTTCCATGTTCCAGAAGGTTCATTTCTGCATCAGAATTGAGAATGTGCTCTACGTTTTTGACAATATTCTTTGAGCATTTTACAACCTTAACTGTTTTCAAGGTGAAGAACTTTTGCTTGGTTCACATTTCACAGTGCAACTCTGGAGGGAGAATGACAATTTGAATTTATCAGCCTGTCACTAAATTCATCAACATAATTGACTCAAGATATTGGTCTTCCTTATATTTCAAAATTCTGGTCTGCAAAAAAGTAATGTCAGAAGACATTGGGGGAAAAAAATGCACCACAGATTTGACTAAAGAAGCAGTCCCCTCTTTCTACACCACTTAAAATTCAGTCCCCAAGAAACAAGGAACATACTCCCATGGAGAAATGGGCAAGAGATCCCTACAATTCTAGCTACCTGTCCACTAGCTTGTAGGGGCCCAGGATGGCCACCCCAAGTAAGCCCAAATGAACTCTCTAAGACTAGAATAAAATTATYACTAGGGTATGAGTCAGCAAACACTTGACAATGCTGCATAACAAAACACCCTAAAAAATACAAAGGCAGACAGCAAAAGTGTCATGTTCTCATGCTCAACCCAGCTGTCACTCAGAGAGGCCACTCTGGACTTCAGGCTCAAGATTTCAGACTGAAGGTTGTTTTGGGTCAGCTCAGGTCGTGCTCCAATGGCTACAAGGGGCAACTCCCCTCCATACTGGGAGTTCAGTATGAGAGAACAGTAGCAAACCAGAGCGCAAGAGCCAGTTTGAGTCATGAAAACAAATGTGAGCCTGTGATTGGGACTTACCTGCTGTCATTTCATCTGAGTAAGCCAAGTCATGTGGCAGAGCCCAACATCAAGGGGCAGCAATGTGCTCTGCTCACCTTGAGGAAAGAGACACAGACACTCGGAAATCCGTGATCCAGATGATCACAGCCAGATTCTCAGCAGATCTTCTAACTGGCCCCCTTAAGAGCCAG